CTTGCTTTGTGGGCTTGTTGGATATTCCGCTTCTGAGATGTGGCGTGGTAATAAAAATCCGATCTCAATGTCACTTCACTTTATTTGATGGCGTATTCAATCGACAAATTCACAAGTATTCTCTAAAGGTTACTTCACTAGTATACAACTGGATCAAGACCGAGCTGCTCCGCCCATACCGCGGCCCTTTTATAACTTCCGTTGAGGTGGTAGTGTGAAGTTAGGCGTGAATACCATTGGGCGGTCCAAAATGGTACTAAAGTAGTCAATACAACAACTAAATAGTAGTGCGTGAAGTTAGGTGCGAATACCATAGAGGGATCCATAGTGGTAATAAAATAGTCAACAGACGACCTAAATAGATAAAACGTAACAATTGTTAGTGCGTAACTGCAATTCCCATTAAACTGAAACGGACAAGGCTAACGTGGTTGCTTACAGGAATAGAGTCCGATGCTGGATTTATCATTGTATATGTCGAACGCCTATTCGAAGTCAGTGAGCAATTATGGCGCCGACGCGTTGGCGTCGGCGTCTGACGTTGGCAGGCACTCACCAGTAGGTTTAGAGTTTTGCGAAATGCTGTGCTCCGTAACGGTGCTGACTTGTTATGCTCTAACAAACAAACTACATAGCTGCTGTAACAATTTGCGCTGAAACTTTATAATCCTCAATTCATAAAATAGACTACTACATAATTAGACTTGCTAGACACCTTTATTGCTACACAAATAATAAGTGAAAGCAGTAATATTTGCGTGATTTCGAGAAAAGCACTTTTAAAGTTACTTCTATATTTTGATGTATTAGTATCTTATCTAATGCCATCAACTGACGTATATTAAGGCAGAGGTAAAATATTTTAGCCTTGTAGCCAAAGCTCGAATAAAAAGTAATCAGAATGGAATCGCGTCTGAATCTCGCACTATTTTACTTAGCGTAACCGTCACGGGCTGGCCGGTAGTAGATATTTTCAGAATCGATACAACCACAAAATGGCTTTGGTTGATTCCACATAACAGTGAAAGTGTTGAATTGGGAAAAATATATAGTAAAATTGAGGATTTAAAGTCAGGTGGGGTAAGAGGAACATACTTTATTTCGAGACAAATGTTATGAGCTCTAGGAGGAATAAGTAATATCTTATACGAATTTCAAAACACTCTAATCTTGCCCTGGTTTATCAGCTTTCCATGTTTTAATAATCGTTACGTTAAAATTATTACTTACGATGTATCTGATAAAAACGTTCAGGTTGAGTTAACGTTTCTTTTCCTCCAAAAAAGGGGTTAAGCGGAACTGTCATCGTATTTCATATAAATGTAATATATATTTAATTATATCCGCAGTTAAGTCCTAATTAAAACTATTTCAATGGAATTTGATCTTAGAACCATTGAAATAACGTATAGTTATGAAAAAAAGTTAAAAATTAATTTTTGGGCAAAAGGAACATGCAAGTTAAGGTCAGGGGTAAGAAATTAATGAAAAGTGAATCTGTTATATTTTTTTTAGTATAAAGCATAATAAAGGCACATTTTTAACCACTCGTTTACAAATCAACATATTAAGTAACTTAAGTACTTTTTAAACATCACCATATTAGAAAAACAATGTTTGGTCCAAAAATAAATTTATACTTCTAATAAAATTTATTTTCTATTATATTATCTTCTCTAGTCACCACAACCACTCTACTTTGAAAACCGTTTCACTAAATCAATTGAAATTTGGTATAGAAGTAGTGTGGCCACGTAGCTAACGTAGAATGAGCCATTTTTGTGTTTCTTCGTAGATTACGTCATAATTTTAGAGCTTATGCAAACTTTTTTTAGTTTTCAACTAAAATATTAAATTTTCTAAAAATTCCTGATGGAAAAAAATGTGTTACCAGAATTTTACTGCTGGCTTTAAAAACTACCTTAAGATGTGTGATTGTTTACTCATAAAATTGTAGTGGTGTAATAATTATTGTAACATTCGTCAGAAATTAACATAATGTAGACGAAGTCTCTAAAATTTTACCAAAATTTACGATTACAATCAAAAATGTTATTTGAACAAATTTAACTTAATTTCTTAAAAGTGTATATGTACAAGTATAAAATAATATATATGGATATAAAGTTGTGTTTGTTCGAATATGACAATATTCCATTATAACAATTCATCAAAAAGATTGTCACCCCTGACACGGGGGAAGAGGTACATGTTTCTCTTACCCCGTAAGTATTAGACCCTCTTACCCCAAAAATGTTTTTGGCGGTTAGAATTTAGATTCCAATGAAACTCATACAATTTGTTGTTTTTGGTCTGAAATAACTAATAAAAAGTAAAACTTAACGTTTTCTCTACGTGTTTTTCTATAAAAATAATCTCCAGCACTTTTTTTACCAAGATCCAGCAAAGAAAAAATTACGCGCCCATCTCGTGTTTTCAGACTACACAACTGTCAATTTTTTTTCTCTCTCTCTCAAATTTGGAACATTGTAGCGACATCTCTTTACTACCGTTAAAACTAATTTGTTTGTCTGTTTCAACGAATGAGAGACTATAACACTAAACGCTTTACTTTAGGTATTATGGATTTTAGTTCCTCTTCCCCCGGTGTTCCTTTTAGCCCACCTGACCTAGCTTACACCGAAGTATACGGTGTGAAAAAACGATTCCTAAAAATTTTCACTTCAACATTTTACAAGAAAACCGCTGTATTCAATTAGTATTTTACACATACCTATGATTTTTTAATATCTACTGAACTACATAGAACACGTATAGTAGACGATATACATTTTTCAAACGGCTTTAATTTCGGTTGTAAAAAAATACTTTCTGAAAGTCGAAAGCCAGTGTCCCTGCCGCTCGACCCGTGCGGTAGAACCGATTCAGTACGGGAAAATATTTAATTCGAGCTGAGGTTGTACCAATTCTTAAGACAGAATTAAAAAAGGAAATCTATAGTAACCAATAATATAAATGAACCTGGTTCCTACAACAGTGTGGTAGAAAACGTTTTTATAGAAGATTATGAAGAATATGTATTTTTGGAAATTTAGTATTTCTTTCGGAAGTTACGTATTTCATATTTTCTCAGAGTTGTAATTTCAACAAGCTCTTGATTGTTTGCTAATTATGATTCATTTTGTCGGTATGTTCTGTTTTTTATTTTTCAGTGACTCATTTGACGAAGCTTAGGCTCAACTCACACTGGCGCAAAGTCGAAGCGTCGAATCGCGTCCTGAGGGCCTAGCCAACGTGTCTTCGTGATCTATTCCATCGATTGATTACGAAGCGATTGCCAACACCTTGTAGAAAACGAAACAAATTGGCGATTTTATAATCAGTTGGTGAAGTTTCGTGTTGTTTGTGCAAATTTTTATAAATAACTTTGAAATGCATTCGCTTCGACCCTTGTGAGCTGCTCATAATGAAGAAGTGTGCCTCAGACGTCAAAAAAGAAACGTTTCTCAGCGGTCCTTGGAGCAAATCGGCGAAATGCCGGTTTTATGTTTTGGGAACCATTTAGATTGGATAAACGAGCATTTGTCTCCACCTACGGGCCTATACCTGTTTGAGAGGAACCGTAGCATTTCTACTGGAAGTTAAGGTAAAGAAATTATGTCTACTACTGTAATATGAAGTGTAATATTAATGGGTACCAACCACCAGAGGTTATGATAACAAAAATATTGTTTTTGTAGGTTTTGTGCCTTGAGTTTCTTGGCGACAGGCTCTTACCAGTGGATCGTGTGTGTCTCGCAACATTTGCTGCAGCGAACAACTAGTCGTTGCATTAGGCAAGTTGTGGAAGCCCTCAATCATCCGAATGTAATAAGTAAATGGGTGTTCCCACAAACGCAACAAGTTAAGCCCAGAGGTAAGCGACATTTCAGTAAAATAACACATAAATGATAACGTATTTGTACCATTTCACTTTTATCAATTTTATTAATGAATTTACAGGTTCCAAATAAGATTTCATTTATCTGTAGTAATAGGGTGCATTGACTGCACCCACGTAACCATTGTGAAGTCCATGGTAGATGAGCATCTTTTTTATAAAAGTATACCACTCATTAAATGTACAAATGGTAAGTTTTAGCCTATTACACATTTCATTGGTTGACAAGATAATTTTAGTATTAAAATTGAAATTGTTTGTCCTGTGATTTTTGCACAGTTAGTTGAAGGGTTAATATAAATCTGAAATTGTACAAGGTACATGGTGAAATTGGTTATATAGTTACTTTGTTTAATTCGTGAAATTTGAATAGCATAGGTATTTATCTCTGTATCAACCAACAATTTTGTCTATTTTACAGATTTGTGACCATAACTTAAAAATTTTAAATGTCGATGCTAAGTATGGTGGAGCCACTCATGACTCTTATATGGTCATCCAGCCAAGTGGAACCATACATGCATGGGCTTCGTCAAAATGGTGAACAAAGAAGCTATTAGGTAAGGAACAAAATTGAACATTTATACATAACTACTTTTTGCATAATCTATAGGTACGTTTTTGTTGTTAGGCTAAACATTTAGCCTATAACAAAAACAGCTTTAAGTTTTGCAAACTAATTGTCAACTGCCTGCCTCCTATGATTAATTGTTAATTTAAACAATCCTAATTGTTTTAGGTGATTCTGGATACCCAAAGAGCCTGGCTAATGATGCCTATCTTAAATGCTGCACCAGGGTCACCGGAAGAGAATTACACCAGGCGTCATATCCAGGCCACGAATTGTATTGAACGGTGTTTTGGCTTGCTGAAGACACATTGAAGATGTTTACTTAAGCACTGCACACTTCATTAACATCTCCAAGTCACCAGTAAAATAGTAATTGCATATGGTGCGCTGCATAACATTGCATTGAATGCCAAATTGCCCCCACCAGGTGATATGGCTGCGCAACATGATGATGAGGATCTACCAGTAGTAGCCAAGATGAGCTAAAGCATGGCAGAGCCATGCCCAATTCTTTAGTGAATAGATTGTGATAAAGAAAATGAAAAACAATTATAAATATAAAAATACAATATTATTTTTATAATAAATATTATTTGATATTTCACGTTAATACCTAATCGAATTTTAAATAATAAAAATTGTCACTGAAATTAGTTGGAGAAAACCACGATGTGGTCTGTGGAGAAAACTAACCTAAAAATTATCCGTTTAATCGTATTGTTTTACGAATTTTGTGTTACGACTGCCAAAATCTGTCGCTAACCTAATTATAACTCATACAATCCTAATAAGGTAGTATTAAACCAAAGTGTCAAAATAGTCTTGCGGAATGGTGGCACTAAAGGTGTAACAAACCTGGGGTGTCTTGAGGGAAGTTAGCTTTTGATTTGATAAGTAATCATCTACTTCTTGTTGATAATTCCTAGGCATGTGATCTTACTACCTACACATCTTTGTACTCTCCTTTTAGACGTACTTTTAAAATATTTATACATTTCAATGGTAATGAAGAGTATACAAACAGGTTTTCACCATTAATTAAAATTTATATCAAAAATTCACATTTCTTTTCATTTGCTGTTTATATTCGTCAACCAGCCATGATTGATAGTTAACGCTTTTGTTAAATGATGATGTGATATGCATAGACGGCACACAACATTCCGCAGTATATGCATTTACATTTATGCTAAACAAATGTCATGTAGTTAATAATTTGCCTCATTTTTAATTTAGGTTTTCTGCGTGTTTAAAATAAAAACGGGTTTTTTATTCTCAAAAATTTAAATTTTTAGGATCGCACAAGTCGTGCGCCTGATGGTAAGCTGGATGGTAAGCACGCCTGTCTACCATATATAGATAACAGTTACAGTGCCACTCAGAGTTTTAAATTGCAAAGATCTGAGGGGCACTGCCACTGCGCCCATCACCCTGAGACAAGTAAGTTGACAAGTCCCATTGTCAATGTCATGTGTATGTAATTTCACCAAAAATTCGATTAGTTACTCGTATATTTTAGTCCCTAATACCTCAGACCTCATCACAGTTTCATACAATTTGAAGAATCATGTGAAAACTGGTTTGTAACTTTCCTATCTGGTATCGGATGCGAAATTATGTTTTTGGATAGATGTCGGTAGCAGCAAGTGCGCATTGTCAAAAATAGTTCATACTTCAGAGTAGCAAGTCCGCGCACTGTGTAATTTTAGATGCGCGCGCGCCAGCCGCGCTCTCGTTCGCTGCGTAGCCGTGCCATCTCCGTCTCCACCTTGTAAACAAATCAGGTAACCTAAAGACAAATAAATTTAAATTTAGGGTTAATTATCATTGCGTGGAGAAAAGTGCGGTGAAAGAAAGCGTTACGAAATTGAAGTACAGTCGATTTAGTGTTGTCTGTGTTCAAATTCAATTCAATTGTTCTGGGCACACCTTTAAAGTGTTCTAATTTTTGCTAGTAATCACCTATTAAATTGTTTGCTCTTCTTAACGCTAAAATAATGGACACCACAGTAACAGTCACCTGTTACAAGAAGTTCGCTATTAGGTATGTACATGGCCTAAATTGATTTCCATATTAATTATACATTAAGTTAATGCCTTACCTACGCATCATCTCGAAACACATCTGCTTATATATAAATTCAGTACGTAATCATCGTAATCTCCGATTTGATGAAAGCCTCCTAACATGAAAATATCTGATTTATTAAATGGTTCTTGGAAACTGAAGCGATAGATTTTAGTTTTAGTGCATAATAATCTGAATGTTCAAATTTGCCACAAATAGTTGATATATATATATATATATATATTAAATGGATCAGTTTTAATATTAAAATAATTTCAGATGAATATCCATTTAAATAATTTAAATAAAAAATCGAAATTCAAATAAACAAGATGGCCGCCATACAAATTTCAAAGTCTTCTATCACGGAAACTATTTGAGATAGGTAGGAAGTGTTGGAAGGAATGTCATAGAGGGTAATAGTGCTCAATTGCCTGTTTCAAAAAAATTAAAGATGGCGAAACTATGTTATGTATTAATTAAATTTTTATTGAATTGATATTCAATTATTTTTTGTGAAATTACTCCATTAGTTTGTTATAATGATTAATACAAAGATCGAACACTCAGAAAAAACACTCAGAAAAAATTCCTTCGATCCGGTCGGATTCGAACCGACGTCTTCTTGCATACCGTGCTAGACGCTATACCAACTAAGCCACGGAACGAACCAACGGACCTCACGAATTTTTCTAATGTGCTTGCGTCGTCGTGTCTTTGTACTTGGTCTTTCAACGTTTATGTGGCAGTTAATGGAGAGTAACTTTTCACTACGTTTATCGTATATTAAAGATGTTCCATGGTTACTTAAATATTTCGGAAAGTGTTTATGAGGTGGATGTGGCCTAAGAACGGGCTTTAAATAAAAGAAAAGCATAGAAAGACGATCACATTTAACATGTCTGAGGAGAAATTCCGCAAACGATATACCGTTTGTCCACGGAATTCATTTCAGGATTGGTGGAAGAACTATGCCTACATATTCTCGTTAAAGGACGGTCTGTTGCATTGGATGTGGAGACAAAGGTAAAGGTTAAGTGGAATCCGAAAGTTCTCAGTTTTGCATAATAACCAAAATTTCTATACTGTGTAAATCATTATTAATTTTGTTACAGATTTTAATAGCTCGTATAGTTTTTAACAACTGGGGCGTACCAGACCTCCATTGGCAAGTGCTCATCACCCTTTCCCAAGCCAGTGTCAGAAAGGCACAAGCGGTAGCTGCTTCAAATAAACCAGTTATTATGAATAAATATGCAGCGTTCCTAAAAGGCATGCCGAAAAAGATGGTATTAAAAGGCGGTGAGAAAATAAGCTTTACAATGTACATCATCTTAATTAGTTCTCGTCTTATTTCCTGTTATTATTATCAAATTAAAATTACAGATATAGGTAAAATATGTTGTATAAAAACATATTATAAGGTTACAATTTATCTCTTTTAACACTTGACTTTATACAACATATTGTCCCCTTACAGTGAAGCCTCACATATGCATTTTCAGTTTGTTTTTACTGATTTTTGTTGAATAAAAATTAATAATGTAATAATATAGTATCTAAAAGAGGTATAATTTAAGTAATTAAAATGCTAACTACACACATTACTGCATTTACTATACTTCACACCATATTTTTATCTTCATCCTAAAAAATGACATAGAAATATGAGGTATTCATTCTAAGATGACAATGTATACCTATTGTAATTGTTTATTATCTTAATATCTAAATTGATGTATTCTTTTAAGAGGTTGAAATAAGAAAAAGAGTGTATTTTTAGTTTATTTATTGCCTCAATCTACCCCAAATCATCCTTCATTTCCAGAGCGATCTTGCTTTTGATTCTTCAAAGAAGTCTGAAACAAAAATATGTATATAGTAAGATTGGAGACCTAAATTTAAGACTGTGCCATACCTCTCATGAGAGTAGTGACAGATAAAGCAGGATGGGTAGTTATATGTATACATACAGTATGAAGCCACGCCAGAATGTTTAGGGGCCTTTTCAAAATACATTTAAAAAAATGTTTATATCACTGTGGAAATATAAAGGGGACAAAAGTGTACAGATTAGACCTTCGTTCCTTACGCTCTTTCAGATTTCCACAATTGAACATATCATCAGCAGGAATTAAGAAAACACGTTGAAAACAAACCTGTCATTCTTGTTAAATATTGTATCAAAAAGGTTAACTGCAGACACCAACTCGGTAATGGCTTTGCAAATGGCAGCTACGGATTGGGCATGCAGATCATCTGCTTTGGCAGAAATAATAGCTGCCTCAGCCTGCACTCTGCCAGCATTCACTTGCTGCAAGAATGCTTGGCATGCTCGCAGCTCCTCAATGCATAAGAATTCTACCCGGCTCTGCTCCAACGCTCATCAGCTCGCTGTCAACGAAATAATAGATGTGATGTAATAAAGAGTGGGAAAGAATTTGCTCAAATTGAAAGTTACTTTGTTTTTTAATTAATAATAAAGAGTGAGAAAGTTACTTTGTTATTGAATTGTATGTTTGAAGTTATTTAGTTAATTTGTGCTAGAGTTGGTGTCCTTTAGGAAGGTTGGTAGGGCCTATGCCGCAGTCGATGTGGCGTAGATTCTCACCCTGCTTTTCATACCATTCCATACCTGAATAACAATAATAACATTGCATATTATAGTGATATGAGTTCTGGTACAATAGCAGTGAGTGATCCACTCACTGTATCCTATTACCTCTCATTATAGCTCACCTTTTGGGATCTATGGCGGGGCCACAAAATAGCCACACACTCGCACCAAAGGCGTGCTGATAACACGCGCGAACGACGCCGAGCGAATTCATTCTCAAGCCACATCTCTGTGCGATTCGAACTCCAGCAAAGATGGAGCTGGCTTACAGTGGTCGCTCGCCGTCCGACCGTATTCACACTGGCTGAAATACGAGCATCATTATTAATTCTACATTGCTAACATTTCGAAATTAATAGTAGTTAACGTACCTATTTGATTGTATAAAAAGATACTATTTTATTAAATAGAATATTAAAAAAGGAAAACAATGTGTAGGTACTTGCCTCTGCGTGTTTTATCTACAACAACAACACACTAAATTCAATTAATTTGGTTCAAATCACAACACATATGTTTGTTTACAATAGAATTTAATGACATTTCTTTTACACACTTTTTTAAATCGCTGTTTTATAGACTTGAATTCGTAGATATTGACATTTTAGTGCGTATAGGTAGGGGTACAGGGCTCGTATATAGTATAAATTTAAGATAATATGAATGAGTCTATATAATATATTAGCATAATAGAGAATTTTTTCAGATAAGTTATTACGCTACAAAATCAATATGTTTTTCACACGCTTTTATTTCCTACTATACTTTCCTACTACTATTTCATGTTGAAGTTGGTTTCCAATCTTGTCTCTTATTCTAATCGCATACATACTTTAAAAGGTCATCCGTCTGATTCTTATTGTTTTAACTCTGCCATATACTATTTTTATCGAGCACTTCCTACTACTATCTTGCTCATCTGCCTCAGCAAATGCCTAACGAGAGCATTTCTATGGCATGGTTTTACTACACAATTTCGAAACACGTTTCTGTGAAGCTCGTTTAGCTGAATGATCCAATAAATCATTATATTCATCGATTCGCGATATATTGATGGATCATAAGAACCATTGACTTACAATTATAAGTCAATGATAAGAACGAATGACTTTTATGCGATGGTTCGTTAGTGCAAGCATTAATTGGATCTACCAAAAGATTTTTACGTCGCGTCGGTCAATCCTCCATTGGAATGTTAAAAAACAGTAAAAATATGAAATTTTTAGTCAATATTTTGATATAATTCAACACCTTCTAAATATATTTTTTTTGACAAAAGTTATCTGTTACTTAATATAATAAAGAAATTAAAGTACGTATGAAAAAAAAAATCAAAAATAAGTAGGTATTTAAAAACGTTTTGTGTCATAAAAATATCGCCGTTACTATATCCTATTTTTGACTCCGATTGTGCTTGTTCTATATATAATAACACGTGACGGGACGAACAAGTCGTGCGCCTGGTGGTATAAGATATTAGATGCACATCCACTGCGCCCGTTCACTCTGAGACTTAAGTTGACAAGTCCCATGTGCTTGTAATTTCACCAGCACCCTTACCCTTCTGAACCAAAACGTAATAATGCTCACATTACTGCTTGGCGGCAGAAATAGGTAAGTTGGCAGCACTTCCCTCGACGAACTCTTTCACAGGGAGCTCTACTGCTACTAAAATGTATCCAAACGTGCTGTTTGGTTTATGGCGAAAAAAAAAGTTTTACCGTTGTCGCATTATTTAATATTCGACCTAATTAACGTCCCATTAATGAATTTTATGTTGAGTTATTTGAAATAGAAATAAATAAGTACTTACATTACGTACTTTTTCTGATTGTTTATTTTCTTAAAGCTCTTCGCAATTATACTGATCATCATATAATCCATCCAGTAATTACAAATCTCTAAATCGTGCATACCAATCTCATCGGTGCTGTTTGGAATTAAGGCTAACGACGAATTACTTAATAAAGCGATGCAGATTTAGTCGATAAACCAAATACCTAAATAGTCTTGTACAAAATGAGATGAACTGTTTGTGGGCAAAACTTTCGATTTTTACAGGAAGAATGCTTGAATTTGAAAGAATGTGACATCAAAATTAAAATAATTTTATTCATAGGTAAGCATTATTACACTTGAAATCGTCACATCATTGGTTAAACTCTACCGCTCATTCGTAAGGCAGATCCCCTGAGAGGAATGCACAAGAAACTCTAGGGGTTGCTCTTTGTAAATAACCTTTGTACACATTCAACATTTACAATATATATATTTTGTTTGTTTTCAAACATCAGAGATCGAGACTACCTCCATGAGCTAAATGGGTTACTACCACGGATTTTTGTCATCCAAATACGCAGATGTTGTATAATAATAACCTTTAGTATAAAATTTTTATTTCACTATAGTTTTAAATTTGTAAATAAAATTATAAATGAAATTAAAATTGTAAATGGCAAATTTTGTATATCAACCGGAATCTTGTTATAGAAGCGCACCTGCGCTATAAGTTCATTTAAGGGGAAATGTATACCTATACATTGGCCCTTAAATGAATTTGTGACTTTGTGAAAGACGACCATCAAGAACAGCTAGTTTATTTTTATTCCTCGTATTAATGTTATGTCTGTCACGATTTTTCATAAATAAATTACTATTCCTCTTAACATAAATTAGATTTTCATAAATGTACTGTGACGCTAGTGTAAGAACATAGATAATAAAGATCAATGGCTTTGTTCGCATAATAGTCAGTTCTTTTAGGCCTGCCTAAGTCACATGTTACTCCATCCTCGGACATGACATTTCCGCAATCGAGAGCGTTTATTGCGTAGCTATGGTGTTTTACCACGTCTGTCAAAACTTCCTTTCGCATCGGCAATAGGCTTATTTTGCAAATACACTACGTTTTGCTAGCTATACGTTCGGTCGGTTGCTGCGTCGGTTAAGCATGGCAAACAATATCGCCCTTCGGTACAATCGATCCACTTCGCTGCAGATATGTCTATACCACTTCAAAGCAACTATTATATTTTATATCTATATATTTATTTTATCTATTATGCAATAAAGAGTATTATATTGTAATAAGTGACTGGCTAGCACTGCCATTGCTATAGACTGGATTTTGATATAAGCGCAGTGCCTTATAATTAATTATTCAGATTACAGAAGTGCAGGTACTGTTGCTTTGCGGTTAAAATGTATATGGCGGCGGTACACATGTCGGATTTCAAGATTCAGAACAAAGAAAGCTTTACATTCCACCTGTACAATTGCGCGAGAAATTTGATTCTCACCACTCTCTCATAACTTTTAGTAACAGTAGAACTTCTTGTAAAAGAGTTCCTTCGTTCCAATTTTAAAGGGTAAATGGTAAAGGTGCGGCCCCTCAGATCTTTGCATTTTAAAGCTCTGAATGTCACTGCTACTATTTTGGGTAGACGTGTCGCTTACCACCAAGGAGCAAGATATGTACGACCCATCCCATGATAATATAAAAAAAAACAAAGGTCCAGCCATATAGTAATGATTTAAAATGGTTACGCAGGTTGTTTATTAAGCGAAACAACTTTCTTATAACAAGGACGGGGGTGGTATCGTTTATTCAGTGTGATCTTTTAATTGGACCTCCGCTCGCTCCGAGTATAAATCGATAGAGTTTCTTTGTTTCGCGCTTCTAATTATAAAACGCGCAATGCTCCCCCTAAACTCAATACAATGATTCCTTTCTAAAAATGCCTGACGTAGTGAGATCCCCTTGAAAAAATCCTTCAAATAGTTTGCGCTTACATCTTTAGGAATAATGTATTCATAGTCCACTCACACTTGAATAATACGAAGGTCGGAATATACGTAATCTTTTGAGACAAGACGTCGGCTAGGTGCTGTAATAATAATAAGTATTTATCACGCCGTCCCTTCACTAAATAATGTACTTACTCGTAAATCAAGTTAGCCTATCAAAATACTTGGTAGTATAAATCACAGTATGATTAAATTCATTACATAAAATTGTTGCAGCAATCATTCTGCTTGATAGACTGAGATGAAAACAAAATCACTCGAACAATATTTTGTTTTTCAATCATATATTTTATTCAAAGCTATGCTCAATACTTGAATCCGAGTGCGACTGATGACAAATTGTGCCTCCATATCAACCCATATACATGCCCCTGTCAGGTACACGTCTGCTGAAGAAGAGAATACACTGCTATGTTGGTCTAATGGGACTTAAAGATTTGTTGTGATATGATTACAAATTATAGTATCGTCCAAGTAGTGATATATTTGTTTCAGTTAAGAGCATGTCCCGTGTGTATGAGGAGCTGGACCCTGCGTACGCGACGGCGTGCAGCGATGTCACTCTCTATTCCAACTCCAAAGGCTTCTTCAGCGCGATTGCCGATGAAGCTGTGGCGATGGCATCTGCAGACCAGTGGTTGCACAAGTTTGAGAAGGTCGACGATGCCAAAAAAGTCGCAACCGTCATTGCCAATAAGGAAGTAAGTATAACAAAGTGTTCCTATATAAGGAATTTATAAAAAATCCATGGGTTTGAATGACAATTAGACTATTTTGGGACGGATATTTTAAATTAAGTCTGAGTGTTATTAGTGTTTAGCCGCTCACGCGATGCGCTCATCCTACCGCAAAATGGTGGCTATTTGGTTTCGCAAATTAGAAAAGGATTCAGTTTAAATACTTTTTTAAAATAAAAATTATTATTCTGCATTGCTAAATAAATACCCTCCGTACCACAATAAAAACATCTCAAATAAAATGCAGTAATACACCGCAAATCCTGCACTTAAAAAGCACTAATGAAATTTTTGGTGTACTTGGGTAAATATGATAATATTCCGTTTGAGTGGTTGTAATGTTTACCATGAAATTACTCCTTAAAGTATAGTTTATAAACATTTATATTCAGGGTAAACTTAAAAAACGCAACTTACGGTATGTTTTCAATAAATAAACACCGACATCACCAGCCCAAACAATAACACACACGATTGTCGTGACGTATTTTTGAAGTTGTTTATCTTTTTAAATGACAGACCCAGGCTTTAAAAACTTTATGGTTTGCTAGAGTAGTTACCGAAGTAGCAATTAGTATTAGTTCTTTTACCTGTTATAACTTCGATATCCGATAAATCGGTATAAAATCATCACCGGCACCTCTAGGTGTGGTATGCTTCCAGAGACGCATGAATCGCGTGAGCGGCTAAGGAAACTTTCGGCTACATAAGCAGGTATGTGCGTCTAGAACAGACCTTACTTATCAAATGTATTTAGGAGTACGGCAAACAAGGTATCCTAATACCTTTATTTATTATTTATTTATTTTTTATTTATTTATACATTTTAGGAAAATTCACGGACAAATAATACAATTATAGTAAACTTAAATATGAGTAATCCAATGCCATTTACGATTTTCCACCTACATGAAACAATATACAGTGATTAGCAAGCCAAAAAGAGATTACAGGAGAATACAAAGAACGCAGTCAATAAATTAAAAAAAAAATACAAATTACTATTAATATACAATTAAACCTTAGAGGATGGTAAAAGAAAAAGAGTCTAAGAATAAAACGAACAAACCAGTGTATTCATCGCCAATCACGTGATGTGTCAAAGTGACGTTTGGTCATTTCACGCCTGACAGTGTCTATGCTTGAACAGAACAAATCAAATCGAATCGAATCGAATCGAATCGAATCGAATCGAATCGAATCGAATCGAATCGAATCGAATCAAATCAAATCAAGTAAGTAAGTAAGTAAGGTATCTTCCTTCGATACCTTGTAAGGTATCTTCTTCTATACTACATAAGACGTACTCAATCTCTTAGTCCAGCTTATTTTTACTATTCTCCAACTTCAGCACATTTCAAATGTTTTCACAATTCTCTAATACAGAAGTTTGAATAAACATTCAAAACTAAGTACAAAGAATGCTCATTCCATTCATGCTAGGTATTTGTGTGATTGCCTGTCATATTATTTATTAGCGTACTGTTAAGTGTATTTTTTTACAATTATAAAATAATGTACAGTTTCAAATTTATTACATACACTTGAACAATTTCTTACTTGCCAAATATATCTAACAATAAAACAGGAAAAATGATTTCATATTTTCGAGTAAAGACCACAGATCACAGTAAGGACTTTTTTGTCCGGAACAAAGCTCACAAAATGATTGTCTCATTTTGAGTTAAGGAGACAATGTTGATAAAAATTGGGTGTCTACAGTTTCAAGCTGATTTGGTCTCTTAAAGTTTTAAGTTTTATAATTATCCCAAATTTATAAATTATTTATTTTACATGAATTTCATAATTTATTTAAAAAACGTAAGTACTTACATCAAAAAAGTAATTTATGACAAAAACAAAGCAGATTTAATTTTTATATTTTTTATTTAATTAAAGAAGTATGTAAGTACTTATTATAATAATACGAAATATCTTTAAAAAAAAGCTTCCTCAAAAGTTTGTGGAATTACATCTATTTGTCAAGTTTTATTGAAATGGGTTACCGAAAACTGTGCAAAACCGTAATCATCTCCTAGTTTGCCATTCTTAGAGGTGGAATATTTTTTCCAAATTTAAATGGGACTAATACTGAGGTCCCTCTTTCCAACAAAAAAAAGAATCATCAAAATTGGTTCACATATGTCGGAGTTATCGTGTAAGTAACATACTTACAAAAAACAATACAGTCCTATTGATAACCTCCTTTTTTAAGTAGGTTAAAAAATAATTAAAATTACTCCTCAAAATCGGTTTTCATATGCGAAATATTAAATTTGATTTGTTTTTTCTCGGTTATCGATCCAATATGACTGTACGTAGGTACTGAGTACACTATTGACATTTTTACCTTGAAGTACTGAGTTAACTAAAGATGAAGTGGTCAAAGATGTCTCCGACTTTTCCTTGGCGAAGCTTCTTTTTTCATCATTATCAGTATTATTTATTGGTACACGCGTCGCCATCTCCACAAACAATCACCCACGAGGCATAGCTTTTCTACAAAAATGAAATATTTCTAGGCAAAACACTATAAATAGTGCACTCAATTCTGAAAAAAAAGGTAATGATGATTGTTTAATTTTTATTCAGACATGTTCAAATTCATAAAATGAAATCATTCACGAGTAAGTAAGTATTCATTTAGATTTTTACAAAATATCACAAGAAACCGAAAAAAATTATACTTTAACAAAACTGTATGAAGTCTAAAAACACTAAGTAAACTAACAAGAACGTCTTAATTTTTTTTTCATTTGAATTAGCGTGAATCAATTATAGTATCGCAACTAGAAATAGGTACAACAAATTTGTCTTTTATTTCAAATAACTTATATTGCTGTAATTCGAAATAGTGCGGCTTAAAAAGCACTGCAACAGATACTCACTTGTCAAATTACAATCATAACTAAAGACGATGCAATATTGGAGGAAACATTACAAATGTCATCTGTGCGACATCTTTTAGTTGTTTCTTGAAATATTCTAAAGACGAGGTTTTATTGACCCGTAGAGTTCAAAAACGGTATAATCTTGAATTTCATATATTTTGAGTTATGACACTATTGTAATAGCTGTGCTATATCATTATAATTGTGGGTTCAAAAATGATATAATACAGTAGGTACTGCAAAGTGCGTCCACAGCAATTATATTTGCAATTTATCGATCCACTGTTTGTGTCGCCGCAGCGCCATTTGGGTTGCAACAACAGTTGTGAATCAATTTATGTCAGTGCTTTTCATGCAAACAATAACTGTGGAGAAATCCTGCTAACGAGATCCGAGCGACAAGCGGGTCGTAATTGAAGCTAGAATGAATTCAACCATGTGCACTTGATAAAGGTGACACGATGACAAATTATTTATCATTTTACCATCTGGGGTAAAAATTATTAGGACGACAAACCGAATTTGCCTGGTTAAGCTATTGATGAGTCTGCATAAAACCCTTCGAGGGAAACAGCGTGTCCCCTATTAAAGGGCAATCATTTCAATTAATATCTATCTGTAGACTCGCGAGTTTGTGGTCTTCGACGTAATTGCGTTCATAATGCTTTGGCGTAAGCTACGTATGCTTAAACAAATCATGATAAATTTAATTGAATTAAATGTAAATTTAGGACGAACATTTACCAATTTATCTAGCTTTGGGTGGTTATAAATGAATTGAAACGCCTTTCTTATACTTTTTTCGTAATGTTGTTTTTACCGTTTTTTTCTGTTTGCTGGATCGATTTTAATCATTCTGAAGTGAACCGACAATCAAACAATTGTTTAATTAATTCGCCGAATTGTGAAAAAAGGTCCTTCTTCGTTTAAACCATTTAAACCCACGACCCTTTTGGACTTCGCGGTGCGCGGCGTTTAAAAATGACTAAGTATACCTCTCTTCGTTTCTGACCAGAGAAAAAATATTATTACACTTACCTTTTAGTATTCAACCAACTTCAAAAACACAAAAGTCAATAATACACTAAAAAACGAAAAATAACAAAATACAGATTTAATACCTTTTATTTATTTTTGTCTTCTTTGGTTTCGCACAGCCCAGGGCCCAGGGTTTAAACGCCAAAAAAGGTAGTTAGTTTAGGTTGCTTGTTTGATAGATGATGGTTTAGAAATATCACATCGGAATAAAGTCATCTCTATTTTAACCACAAGTGTGCATTTTATACATCGAGTGTATTATGTTAAGCCATAAACTATTCCAAGACGGTTTTGTTGCTATTTGTACCCTTCTACATACAAGGTTTATTTATGTAATTATATAAGTGATTACCGAATTTATTGCTTTCTTTTGTCAAACCAATCTGGCGAATTATGATTCTGAATTTCTGAATATTATGATAGGACCAATAAAAATAGGTATCAAGTCCTTTTTGTTACGTATCCTAATAGATTTATTTGTGTTGGGCGGGTGACGTCTCACACAAAATTATGTTTCAATAAACTATTTTCTTTTGTACTTCGTAATTCGCAAGAAAAGAGTGATCATTTCCCGGACTTTCTTTTGTAGCTTATGGGCTGGCTGAATGGAGTGCTGGGGCGCGCGTCTGCGCTACATCGAGGCAAGGACGCTCGCGTCTCGCGCGATTGCCGCGAGAATGCTGCGCGTGCGTTGCGTTCCGGGCAGATCAAGGAGGCATTGGCGCTTGCCAGTCAGGCAGTACTGCGGGCACCCTTAACAGGTGAATTCAACGTCGTGTTATTTGTACTTTTGATTTTTGAAACCAGCAAAGTTTTTAAACACGTGTCCTGTAAGTACTTATACGTCCGCAACCTAAATTATATACAGATTCAGGCAGATGACGATGATGATGTCCTTTAATAGTTAAAAATCAAGTTAAATTCTTAATGAATTCGCCCGAAGCAACTGGCCGCGAAATAGTTTTTCAACAACAGGTTCCTAGCAAAATATTATCTAGAAATTTCGACATCAGTTCGTTATGTTTAAGAGGGAGCAGAGGAAAACGTCCTAATCTTCGATTTGATTTTAGAGGGGTATATCCACTTTAAAGTTAAAAATATAATATTGTATGAGTAACTACACGATATATTCAAGCATAGACATTAATCAGAAACATAAAACAATAAAATTACCTCGATAGATAAAAATCACGAAATGACCTCTAATTTTCAAATTTTTTCGATTTATCCTCGAAATGCTACAGGTTATTAGGACAAAAATTAGATAATTAATTATATTTATGCATGATTGACAACTGTTAGGTACTACGGATTTTTTTTAATCCCTTTAGTTTTAGAGTTATTCCGCTAAAACGAATTTGGTACTTTTAATGCGCAAAATTCAACATCTCCCGTCGCATGTCACGCGAACTTCAGGCATATATTTGTTTCACAAATTTGGGCGGAGCCAACGTCAATACTTTTTTGGCAAGAGAGCTCTTAATTATAATAGGGCCCTTATGTTGCATTATAATAGGGGTTAAAGTATGAAATTGCCGATTTGTACTGAAAATCTAAATTGTTAATTTTTTAAATTTTTAACAAATTTATTTAATCAAAATAGTTGCCATTATTATCTATACATTGCTGCCATCTAATGGGAAGGTTATTAATGCCTTTGCGATAGAACTCCGACGATCTAGACTGCACAAACTGTGTGAAAGCATTTTGTACTGCCTCCTGGGAAGAAAACTTCTTGTCACGTAGATAATTGTCCAAATCACGAAAAAAATGGTAGTCCGTTGGAGCCTTGCTCCAATAATATTGTAGTGTATTGTCCAATAGTATTGAATACGGAGGATGACGAATGGTTTCTAACTGCAGTTCCTGAAGGGTCAAAATGGTTTCTCGTGCTGTGTGAGGTCTCGCGTTGTCGTGGAGCAATAATGGTGAAGATCGATTCACGAGTCGGGGCTGTTTTACTGCTAGTTTTGTCAACATGGTTCGGAGTTCGGCACAATAGACATCTGCCGGTATTGCTTGACCAGATCGGAGAAAACTATAGTGAATAACACCATGCTGAGACCACCAAACAGTTACCATTACCTTTTTATTGGTAAGTTTTGCTTTAGGACACTGTTGTGGCATTTGACCTGGGGTCAGCCATTGCATTTTTCTTTTCCGGTTATCATAAAGAATCCACTTTTCATCACATGTTACAATTCGATCCAATATTCCTTCATTTCTGTACCGGTTCAACAAGGCAGCACAAGTTTCAACACGCGTTTCTTTCTGCAGATCAGTCAAATCATGAGGCACCCATTTTTCGTATTTTTTTATTTTATTGATTTGACGCAAGTGAGTCAATATTGTGGGTAAGGTAACGTTAAACCATGCCGCTAATTCCTGGGTAGTTTGACTAGGATCGGCTTCCACTATCTCTCTTAATTCATCGTTATTCACCTGTGTGGGCGGTCTTCCTCGTGGCTCGTTCTTTAAGTCGAAATTTCCATCACGAAAGCGTTTAAACCAAAATCGCACGGTGCGTTCATTAGTAGACCCCTCTCCAAACGCAGCATTGATATTGCGGGCTGTTTCTGCCGCGTTAGTTCCGCGTCGGAACTCGTATTCAAAAATCACTCGAATTTTCGCAGTATCCATCTTTCTTGTCTAAATTGAATAACAAAAACAATTGAAAGTCGATATTCAAATGTTTCAAATTAAAAAAAAAAAAATCACAGAAACCATTTGAAAAAAGTTTCATTCGAAAACCTCAAACCATGAAGATTCTATGAAAATTCAAAGAACCTATTGCAATAAAACGGCAATTTCATACTTTAACCCCTAATACTTATTTGTTTTGTATTGAACCAACAAACAGTACATAGTAATACGATTATGATAAAAGCAGGTATAAAAAAAAGAATCAATTATTAACGGGTCTCCAGTGAGAGTTATTTTAGACGTATAATAACAATAATAACAACAGAACTAAACACACTTCAACTTTTTAAGTTACATAGTACGTCTGAACAACGTAAGTGTGATGTGTAATTTGGCTCAAACACTGATTGTGCAGGCAATGTGACTAAAATAGGATGGAAAAATGGAAAAAAATCGATAACAGCGACTACATTAAAATATACAATAGAAGCACACCATAATGACTTTAACCACATGCAGAAATTTAAATTGTCATTACAGTTTTAGGTGTCGAGAAAGACGCACGATTTGAAAGTAGGTAAAAAGGACACATAAAAAAGGATGGTGACATCCCGTGTAATTTGTGACCCAGTGTTATTGACAACGTATATTAAAGCGACATATCAATACTTGTGATTCATTGTCATAGCAACATAAAAGCTAATTGAGTAAAGCCTTTAGAAGCTGGGGTTATAAAGTTAAGTAAATTAAATCTGCCAAACTTTGCCACATTTAATGAAACGTTAACACGTTCTGCCGCAATGAAAATGAATAAAATTTAAATTCTAAATGCCCAAATAGCAGAAATCTGCTACAAATGGTCACACTGTTCTTAATCTCAATGTGACAGTGACATTGGCAAGAGGCCTCTAATCAAAACGTTCCTTTACTAACTCTCATTTAAATATTGTCTAAACATGTTTGTCACATTGTGTTTTATTTTTTACTTTATGTCATTACAGTTTAATTGATTATTTGATTAGGTATTTTATAGCTATAATGTTCTATGTGTGCATTATAAAATAATGGCTACTTTAGCTAGGTAAACATTCAGTCATTACTAAAATGAAACGTACGTACAAGAACGTTACGTAGTCTAAGGTCGAACTGAAACAATTGCGTAGTGTTCCTGCATTTATCCTAAAATGCTTGTTAGTGTGTTATTGTAACAATTTCCTTACTCCAAACTTCCAAAAATATACAAAAATATATTGATAACTAGGCGTAAACTAAAACGTAATATTATACTAGCAAAGTCCATGAATAGTTGATTTTCTAATTATTGAATCAACTTTCGCTATCTTTGTTTGTCATGTCTCTACAATTATATCACATACATCTCAATTTAGCTCTAGCTCCATAAAGAATAACCGGGAAACGCATGCCGGGAATGGAAGAGAGCGTAGAAATGAGTATACACGCACATACACCAGTGCCGAGCCTACTTCCGTCTGCTCAAACTCAAACCTGATTTGAATGCACTGCCGCGCTTTTATATTGGGACAAAGCATGCGGCGCATTTAACTGACTAGCTACTCGGGGCATGACTGTTTACAAGCGCAGGTGGTGCACAGGTACCCCGCCGCGCTCGAGATAAATTTCTAATACTTCATAAGGTCCTATGTAGGGGGGTTGCAAGAAATGAATCAGCTATATATTTGAAAATGGAATATAACATATGCATACGAAGAAACATTAGCATGGGACCATCGAATACTTAGTATATAACCGATAATAGAAACGAAATAAGGGTCATCCAACCCTCATCTCAACTCATCAGGCAAATGGGCCTTTTTATATATATCAAGTCTCGTTTGCGCTGAAATCACAAATTAGAAAGGTGAATAGAACAACAACTGACTTGTGTGTACGTCTCCGTATATTCCAAAAATATTCTGTAGTAAAGTAATATCTGGGTGAATATCTCATGTATTATAAATTTTGTGTCCAGTAAATTGTAAATTTTGCGTGTCCAGGCTGAGAATCCTGGTGTAAAGTGAAGAAAATATTAATGATTTTTTTTATACATTGATAGACGTAAAATTAGTTTAGGGCCAGAATTTCAGAATATTTATTAAACAATAATAATTAATATTAATGTATTAGATGTAATAAAAAATATTAATGTCCCGATTTTCAATATTGCTAGTGTCCACATTCTGTTTCATTCTATAAAATAGTCGTTCTAGTAAAATGTGTACGCTTTTATGAAAAACAATTCCATGTATGCTATTCACTATTAGAAGAACTAACTAAAATCATTTAAAGTATTGAAATTACCAGTTTGTGTGAGACTGGGTACTGATCAAGTAATAATAAACTTTGTCCACGCGACAATTGTAGTTTTAGTGGCAAATATTCATCCGGTTGCAACTGGTAAGTAGTTTAACTAGAAACCATTACGTTCTTGCCCCGCGCAAGCCTCAGTCGAGTATTGGGGACTGGCAGCGATAAATATTGCCACTATGTTCCATTTCCCGCCAAAAAACGTAATTATATGACCTTTGGTGGAGACAAAAAATATTCAGTTTTTCTTTCTCCATTTTTGTTTTATGCTAAGGTCGTATTGTGAAACCAAATTAAGATACTAAATTTGTCATTACTTTATCATAATCATTTCGGTTTGATTTTTAAGATTTTACTTTTTTCCCGTAATTTATTTTTTGTAATTTCAATTTACGTGGCTCAAATTTGGTGGTTTGGTTGGCGTTTGTGTTACCACCTTAACTTAAAAACGTCACCAAATTTTTAATTATTATGATACTTTCGAATATAACGTTCACTTTCAGAAATTGTATTAAAGTATTATGTTTTATTTATCCCGATAAACTTAAGAAAGATAGTGTTGTTCATAATTTTTCAGAAATTTTTCGTTCAGAATGTCAAACACGAAAAATTAGTTCATTGTTGTTTTCATTGGCAGTTAAATAACTACGATACACTACGCTATCTCTTGGAATGTTTCCTAAAGTTAATTGTAGAAACTCAAATGTTTCCCATGAGAACATGCGGTGGGTTTATCCAGACATTGAGGCTTAATGCAAAATAAGGTACAGAGTGCTAATTTAGAACTGTTACT